ATAAACAGTTAACATAATGTTTTTTTTTTTTTAAACACATTATTTACCCACTAATATGTTTAGGTATAGTGACAAAGTGTTAATAATAGTTTTCGTGACTTAGCTTAAAACAATTCAATTCCTATTTTTTCAAACGATTCGAACTTAAAAAATCAAAATAATAACAGCTGCAGGTACCGAGTGCTGCAGATACCAAGTACTGAGGTAGGCATCTATACATTTTGGGAAATACTGGAGTACTGCTTAACCCTAATAACTAATAAGTATAATTATTATTATAATTCAGATTTCGGGTCAACAATATCCACCTAAATGTTGTTTTATAATAATACACGCTAAACATTCGGCCCGAAGAAGAGAGGCTCATCGCTGTCGTCGATACAAACGATGATAAATTACGATTTATGCCCGGGCGCTCGGCGCAATACCCATTGATTTCAATAATAATAATAAAAATAATTAGTATATTATTAAATACAATTTTTACTATCTATCTCCGGTCACAGCGGCGTCCGTCTACAGGTATCGACGCCAGTACACAAGTATATATAGTGATTGATTGTAACTCAATAATGCATAATAATGTATATATAGTCGGCCGAAAGGTCAACGGCTCCTGCGGGGAATCCGGAAGGCGCTGTCCGTTCGCCTTCCTCCTGTCTGTCACTCTTCTGCGAAGAGTTATATTATAATAGGCATAGGTAAGTAACCGACACACCGCCGTCGAGACCGTATAGTCATACGCCTATAATACCTACACGTGTTGCAGACGTGTATGGTTATAATACTTCGGTATATAATGTACCAATACTCACGCGTATCTTATGGAAATCCGCGACGGTTGCTGAATTTCCATTCTCGATTTTATTACAATATTATTATGCAGCACACACACATACGTACGCAACAGACTCATTGAACACATTCTTGCATGTATATTTAGACTTTTACCACCCTTTGGCGACAGAGTTGAGCTGCCCCTAAACCAGAGGTCGGGAACATATTTTTTCGTAAGAAAGAGCCATTTTTTCGAAAAATTACTAAACCACGATGTTCAGGGAGCCGCACAGGTTTGAACAACCTTTTTTTTTAGTTGTTGTTAGTATAGAAAATATATTATAGAATATTAGAATAAAGATAATATTATTATTTCATTGAAAAATTGGTAGGCATTAAAAACATAATGATAAGTCTTAAATGTAGAAAATATAGAAAAACTTTATTTCATTAATTCATTATTATTATTATTATTATTATTGTTCATACAAATATAATATTATTTAATTAAATACAATAACACACACAAAAACGTAGGTATCTACTTAATATTAGTGAGATTTTTGACCTGAAAATCGTTTTTAAGAAATTCCGAAATATTATCACTATAATAACGCAGGTATAAATTATAATTAATATTTTACGGATCTCGATATATTGATGCATTTTCCAAAGAGCCGCAGGTTGCATATTAAAGAGCTGCAGGTTCCCGACCCCTGCCCTGTACGGAAAAAAAAATGAACGTGCCACCTATATAGTTTTTGTTTTGCAAAGTCTGTTTAACAGAAATATAGATTTAAGTTATTTCTTGTAAAACTTCTTCGAAAAAAAAACACGATTTAGTTTCATCTCTTTCCTTATTAGGTAAAATGTGAAATTTTCTGGCCAGATTAAGATTGGCCACCCTGGTAAATTACCGTTATATGGATAATTTTGGATGTTGGACCTCCACCGGTGGACACCTATCCTCTTTAAAATCACCCTGATTATATATATACAGGGTAAGACAAAAAGAACATTATTATTAAACATATTAAGCACATTAATTGTGTTTTGATGTGGTAAAACGCAATAATTGGGTACTATGTAATATAATATATAAGACTCGTACCTGTATGACGTACATACGTTTAAGTCTTAAACGCGTGATAAATGTTGACATTAATGTTAATATTTATATTATAATATGATGCAACGACCGGTAATAGATTCGCTTTCTTTCGATAAACTTCATTAATCAGGAATGTGCACAGTATTCACATCGATATATTGTGTGCGATATGTCTTATAGATACTGTTTATTTATTTATATTTATAAAGATTTATACCTCACGTATAATCAGACGAACTTTAATCATCATCGCGTAAATACTATAGGACGAAAGTTTTCATAATATATAAGAATTATGCATAACACATATATAATTCACTGTACTGCAGCGGCACTTTGCAGGTAACACGTACCTATACGATATAAATTAAGACGTATTAACGACTTTTAACTGATTTATTTCCGTTTTTATTATATAGGTACGTATAGAATAACATGCATATTTGAGCTGAGTAAACAAACATAAAATTGTATTACATTCGATTATAACCTTTGTACAATGAATTATCATAAGTGAATAAGTGATTATAAAAATTTGTCTGCAATAAAGTAGAAAGATATTCAACTTAATATCATTTACAATATACATACTGAGGATCCTTTAATTATTTTAATAACCACTTTAAAATTATATTGTGTGCAGTGTGTTATAATATAATCTTTTAAATTAAATACATGATTCTTAAACTATTTTAGTACTACTCAATATTATTATTATTTCAATTAGCATACGATAACATAATTGTATTATGTAAAAAAAAAATATTATGTGTATTATAAAAATTCGCTTAGTAACATCTCTAAAATAAATCCTTCAATGTTATATCAATAAGTTAATAGTTGAAAACAAGTATCTAATGTACCAACAAAAATCGAATTACATAGTTTGTTACCTCAAGTACATTATAATCTCAATGGATTGAAAGAAATTTAATCTCCTACAACTCTGTGGTGTACCTACACCACGATCTTTATTATTTTGATTATTTTTTCTCCAATAACTCAAAATCCTTAGTGATTCAATTGAATTTTGTCTTCTCTAACTTGTATGTGGCTAATGGCCATTGGGTTTCTAATTTACGTATTATAGTACACTGTCGAAAATCGAAATATAAATGCATAATATGTCAATATTATTGTTATTTGTTACTATTGTACACAGTGTAGATTTGTATCTATTATAATAAATTCAAGTAAACACTATTAGTGCAGACGACTAATCTCTAGTTGAAATGTATATTATATAGAAATTACAAATAAGACGAGCAGCCAAAGATCTAATCTATTTTATTGGTATAATCAGATTTAAATTTACTTCAATAGGTACTCAGGTTTACTTAAACTTGTACATGCAACTAAGATAAATCTCGGATGAAAGATATAGAAGATAGGTACACATGATAGGCGTATAAATACTAGCTGAATGCGTTTTTAAAAATAATTTTCACAAAAGTAAAAGCCCGCCAATTAAAATACAACGTAATATTCGTATTCCCATGGCAATTATATTTCAGACGCGCGGTAATCTTTAGATTATAGATCATCATTATTAATATATACCTTTATATAGCTTTTAATTATAATATTACTGGAGGTTTTAGAAAATACACAAATGTAAAATATTTAAATTATTATGATTTCTCTATGTTTTATGTAACATCGGGGTGTAAACATCGTTTATACTTCCGGTTATTGTTTCAATAACTGCTATCCCTCGATGAAAAAAAAAATGTAGGGAAATATAGATCATTTCGTATAGTATAGGTATAGTATAATACTTCAACAAGTATAGTTTAGTACTATTATTATTATAAAAATATACAATAAATTATAACTCAAAGGTACAAAATATAAAAAGAATATTGTTTAAAATTAGAAATCATACTTCAATTGTTGATTTTATACAATTTTATACTGCGTATACCTACTGAATAAAATCAATTTTTCTAGCGGTTAATGTATATAAATAATAAGTAGTTAAATATGATTTCATTTAACATTCTAGTTCGGACAACACACACATATATGTGTTATATATGTATATATATACTGCTTATTCATCCATAATTCATGAAAAATATGTACTTCTTTTATTTTAAACAAATTGTAATGTTAGTGCTTAGTGGGTTTATTGCACGAGTATAATGATAAATAGTTTAAGGTAATATGTTACTTAATAGCTATTAATATTAGCATTATGGTTGACACTTGACACCCAACTACTTGGTTAATATATTTAATTAGTTCAATCATATGTATATGCGTAGGACGTAACGCTCTGAAAATGATAAGATTAAAAATCTTAATACATGTTTTTTTTTCAATGAGATAAAACATAAAGCTGCATTTTTATGTTAAATATAATATTAGAATGTAAAAACTGAAACACGCGAATAACTCAAATATAAGTCGTAAAAATTAGTCAATTGTAATCAAAACACGAATTAAAGACATAGAAATCGGTCATAATAACCAAGTACCTATGTGCCTAAATTTGTTATAAATTAATACATTTAATCATGTTTATGTTGGATTATAATATTACTGTACTAATTATTTTACACGACGATATGTAGTTAATAAAGGACTTGATTTGCTTTATTAAACCTCAACTATAAATCATTTTTAATAAAGTAATTTTTACTACCTATCAATTTAATTTAAAAGCCTAGGTATATATTTGAAACATTTCGACCATATCGATATTTATACTCATTAATAAATCGTAAAAACGAGGTATTTATTGATTTTTAATAGGCACTTCTAAAAAATACACAAAACATAATACCTAGAATAACTACCAGTTGAAAAAACATAGGTCTCTACTCGATATTTTTCTCTACTAAGAAAACCTATATGAATCATAAATACGTTTTTGTTAATAAGTAACCATGGTCCATGACAACGAAAATTTTACGAAAAACCGGTCAAAAACAAAAAAACGTATATCCAGCTCAAACACATATTTATATTAAAAAATTTCAAAAATTGTAAAAATAGCTGAACTAATTCATCCTTAAATCGATTAAAGGTAATATTATTATAAAGATTGCAGTAACTACATACTTCAAATAATGCACAGCATGAAATATAGTATGCAAACTTTACCAACCTTTCATGAAGTTAACGTCATTTGACCACTTTGATCCAAAATGGAAATCCAGGTGTAGGGATATCCGTTAAGTACAGACCAAATCACTGACGTTAAATTTAAACAATATTTCCTCCATAATTTCGTAACCGAAAATAACAATTAAACAAATTTAAAAATTTAAAAATATAAAAAAAAAACACTACCAAATATTGATACTCGTTATGTCGTATATCATATACGTATACGTGTTATCTATTCAACTATTTTTGATTTCGAAAATCACGTAATTATTGCTTAGAGACATCCACGCGGGACCGACGATCTGAGCGCGTGCGACTCGGCGTGATCACTGGCGCGACGCCCTCAACTTGTTCTCTGCCGTGTTCACCGCAACCGACACACACAAACATACCGATTAGACGAGACATGTAGAGCCAGTGGGAGGATCACAGTAGTAGGGCCAGAAAGTGAGAGGACAAGAAAGTGTTCCTTTTTTTTTACTATACTTCTTATACGTTAGCGGGATTTTTCGACTGTTCGACACACTGATGGGGATATATATATTATATATTGTGTAAGTATATACGCATGACGCGACTCTATTGATCTATTAAATTTAGCGCGTTTTTATAAAATCATAATACACACCACGATAACAATGTGCTTGAGGTGTTGTTAAACAAAAAAAATTCTAAACACGCACTGTTTAAGATGGATTGATAAATAAATAGGTATCTTGGACCTATACCTACTATAATATGTAATAAGTAATAACTAATAACTAAAAAGCTTGTACAAATTATATGGAATCAAACCAATTTATTCAAGACGAAAGGTTAAATAGGTAAGAAAAATTAATCCAAAAACACAGCATCAGTCAAACACGGAATGAGATAAATCTAATTAAAATTTTAAAATGTACCTATACACAATATACACACCAACGGTTATATCCCCGTAAATACATTTTTTTGCCTGATCAATAGTTTTTCGATGATTTTGAAAATCACCTCTTGTAATTAGAGAATTACACAATTTCCACTATTGATATTTTATAGTAGATTCTATTTTTAATTTATTTTTTAATCCAAATTCGAGATAATAAGCATTGTTTCAAATATTGTAGGCTACAGAAAATATGTCAATATATGTAAATATTTTAAATGTTGTAGAATCACTTATTTCTATTAAGCGTTCAAATCGTTACGTAATTTTTCTAGGAAGCGGAGACACCCTGTATATTAATTGCATATTATGCACACACTACTCGTCCAAGAGTTGTGTTGTAAAGAAATTCCCTGAGTGACCAACAAAACTATATCCTTTGCATAGTATCGGGAATATTTATTATAGCTATAGTGATGTGTACAAAAATGCGTTTAATCTGAAAGTATAGTTACAATAATCTTTTTTTCTTGAAATAAAACCTTGTCTAAACTGATAAATATCGTACCAAACATTCAAAAATTAATATTTTTCATGTGCGAAAATGCAATAATGAACAAATGACCTACTAATTAGTAATTATAACCCTTGAAAGCGTGGATAATTTTAACCTCGAAAAAATATAATCAACGAAATATGGTGCACTTGATTATAATGACTCTAAAAATACATTTCATTATGAAGCGATACTTTTAATATTTTTGAAGATTAAGTTATTATGGAGGCCTGTGAGAATAACTATAAAAATAAAAATCTTATTCTTTTTAGATACAACACATATTTATTTCTACCTATCTAAAATTGTTCAATATAATTATTTAACATATATAATTAATTATATGGCTTTTAATTTGTAATTCCATTATAACATTAACTAACTCACTAATGTATCATTATTATGCTGCATACCTATTGCTGTATAAGAGGAACTTCCCAAAAAAAGTAATATCGACCAGATCTATGATGAAGTTCTAGGCATGCGTATGTATAATTAAAAAAACTAAAATAGTATTTTATAATATGCCAAGATATCCCAAAATAACCATAATAAAATAAAATCTAGTAAAATGTCTTCACTTATTAAAATATCAACAGATATTAACACTTCACCTCAATTTGGTATCTATAGGTTGGTATACACATTGGCCCATTTCTCGCCAATGACACATGGGGAGCAGTCATAATTTTTTTAAACTTTTCCAAAAGTTTTCATTTTAGGATATGGCTCCTTTTAATCGATTAAACTATTCACGTACAAAACCTTATATTGAATCAACAACAATAATATAATGAAACGATGTGATCGTTAAAGTTACCACTCGGTGAGGTTAGGTTAAGACCATTTACTTTTAATTTTTATTGGATATACTTTTTATCACTAATCTACAAAATTAATTCAAAATAAAATACTTATAACTTATAAGTACTTACACTCTTATTAGTTATTCGTTATTTTTCATGTCCACTTCTATAAACGCACACTGTATTCAAAAAGCTACATAGTGAAAGACGTGAACTATGCACAAAAGGAATTACATATTATTTGTAATAATTATGGTTTAAATTGATAATACAAACAATCATGATTTCAAAAATATATTATTTTTCCTAGTTTCATAAAACATGACAAACACATCAGTATACTCGTAAATTGAGTAGATAGTCATCGGCTTGTGAAATAAAACATATTATGATAAATATTATTGTTACCCCGATTGTTGTGATAATATTGATAACAATATACTACTAATAAGTATGTTGAAAAATGTCTATAATGCGCAATAATAAAATAATATTGAAAGAGCCATCGGTATGTCAATATCTACATTATGAAGTGTAGGGCGTATGATTTACTCTGACGTTTAGACTTTGGTGTAGCCGAAAATTAGCAGTTATAATTGAATGGTTGATATATTTATATTTTTTGAATGAGAAGCGTAAAATATGAAGTTGGTATTTATTTAAATTTAATCTATGAAAAAACTCGATGAAGGCATACCCATAGTAAAAATTAACGGGTGAAAATTATAAAGCAATAGCCAAAAGAAAAAAATACGTCAGAGGCTGAGGAAATAATAGTCAAAAGAATAAATGCTCAAGTTTCGTCAACCGCAACTTCTAGACGCATTTTTTTCAATGAAGTGCAAAATTTAAAGATGGGTTTGGCGAACAAGTAAAAAAAAAAAATTGTGGTTCCATATATCTATATCACAAGAAAAAACTATCTATTTGTATTTATTTACTTAAATAATTATAAGCTATTATACCTTTTTGTGTAGATGTATTAATCTATGATATCATAGGTTATCCGTTATCGATTTTTGTGAGAGCAGCGGATATTTGTCTTTGGGTACCTATTATTTCCCATTACTATTTAAATCATCCTCAAACATGAATATTTTTTAATAAAAATACCGATAAACATTATTTTATATAAAATGTAGGTATCTATGTAGTTGGAATTTTAATAGTTCATTTGAAACCCTGAAAGTTTGCTTTTAATCTTTCTTCTAAGTTCTAGAGTTTTTTTTCCACCAAATAAACACAACAATACACATCATGTGATGATAAAGTTAAAGCTTATTGCGTTCAACATTTTTTTCATCACTTACAAAATAGTTAATGCATCATGTTGCAGAACTCAGATTTTTCCTTTCAGGTTCTTATATTGTAGTACGAAAACGAACTGAGTAACGTAAACACATAATATACATGTATATAATTTTGAACGGTCATCTCATTGACTCCACTCTCTTGCGTGATATATTCATATGTTAGTTCTGTACAACAAAAGACGATTTAACCATATACTGACCGAAACCAATGTGCCTAATTACGTGTTAGGCCACAATTTTCGTATTAGAACACGTATGTGTATATAGGTATTAGGTGCTATACTATACGTATAATACATAATTTTGGGAAATGATTGATTGCGGTGGGTTCCTCACAGGAGTAATCACTGCTGCAGCGACGAGGAAAAAATAGTGTAACGAGCCGAGAGAATGTAATGAGCTGCGCATATAGACACATATGATCGAACAAAGAGACCCGGAGAGCTCTTGATAACGCGTGACTTGCGATTTTCACCCGCGATCGGTTTCTATTCTCTTTATGGTCGGTTAATTGAAAAGTAAAACGAAAAAAATAAAATAAAAAAAGCAACACAGAAAGAAATGTCATTACGCGTGCAGCGGCAGCGGCTGCCGCGCCGGCACGGGCACGGACAAATATATTACATAGCTGGTCTATATTATAATACTATAATAATACATAATATGTATGTACGTATTTCTATTTAAGCATCTCAAATAAAAATATCAAAAACGGACCGGGTAATGAGCCACGTGATTGATCGCTTTCTTTTCATCTGAATAACACCTATATACATATATATATATATGAATATTATACTACAATACGTATAGGTGTCTACCTACATATAGCACACGCACTGTACAAACACAAAAAATTGTATATGCGTGCGCAACTGTGTGTGTGTGTGTGTGTGTGTGTGTGTGTGTGTGTGTGTGTGTGTGTGATATAATTGCGAGGATGATAATGACGAAATTGTCGGACAATTAAATGCATACTATCGTTAAGTAATATCCCAAAGCGTTTAAGTGTTCTATATACATAAACTAAAATATTCACTATCCGGTAGGTACAAATCATTTATATTATACACATAGTATACGAGTATACCCACTATACATGTATAGTTTCAGGTATTGTAAAAATATTTACTAGTCATTTAAAAATGTATGGACAGTTTAAGATACGTGGGTAGGTATGTCTAGTGTTTATCGTTGAATATAATATAGGCAGTACGCGATACGCAGATACGTAGTATAAAAATGACAATATAAATAAGATAACATAAAATGTGATATAAGTAAAGAATAATATTTGATATAAATATGTCCATAAAATACATAATATGGACTTTTGATTTCAAATCTGTAGCTGTCAGAGAGGCAAGATATTTTCCTAAAAATGTTTGATATGTACAAATCTATTATTGAACTTGTGGTTTTTATTTGAATCATTTAAAGGTTAGACAAGATAAGTTAAATGGGGTTAATGGCAATATATAGGTATAGTAGGCAGTAGGCACATAATGCATAAAGTGGTGGATATAATACTCAAAGGGGAATAGGGGACTATGCCACTAATATGGACACTGAATTCCTTACTGTTACAGCTTAAAAGGATTCGCCTTTGTCGTCAATTCATTAATTTATAAAAAAAAGTATGTAATAATTTACAGTGTCTAATATGTATAAAATACAACGACATTTTATATTATGTTTATACTATTTTTTATAGTTTGTTACTTTTCGAGAAACTACTTAAGATATACTATTTAATTTATATTAATTATGCGACCTTAAGTGATAATGTTGTGTCTCGTTTCCGTTTTAATTCCTAAATCTGTCCCT